CTCAATATTAATCACGCCGCTGTTTACCTAAAACCATGCCATGCACGCCCACACAGGTGTTTCTAATTCTGGCTTATTACACAAGAAAAGCACAGATGACTAAGTGTCCCAATAATCAGTGACATTGTGAGTCAGCATTATGTACACTTTATGATAGAATGTAGGATTAGACACAAGGTAATCTGCATTCAGAAGCGTAGTTCCAATTTTATTATGTACTATTTATCTTCTTCTTTTTTCTTTTTAAATGGGCATAGAGAAGCTGTCTGTGATGCCCTCTTGTTTCCACCTATTCTTTGACATTGATTTTGAAGTTTAACCCTTCCTCCACATCATTTCATTGCACCATTTCCTCCGGGTGATTTTCCCGGTAGGAGAAGAGTGTCACGAGGGACGGGAGGAAAGAAGCAGGAGTGAAAAGGCGTTGCTATCCTCCCATTGATGTCAGCTAGCATCAATGAAAAACAACGCAAGCAGGCCTTTCACCTTTCAAGCTTCCTCAGTTAAAGTTCAAACTCAGGCAGTGGCATTATTTCCAAGCCTGGATGAGACATGGGTACAGCAATATCATACTTCCTAAAGACCAAAAGTAACACACCACACATTTCCAGAATCCAGAGATCTGAAATCCTACCTCTGGGCAGAGACTATAAAAACAAACATTGTGAGCTTCTCAAAGCTTGCACAAAGATGGCACAGTTTCCCTTCATTTCCTGAATGGAGTTCCTTTGTGCTGTTTAAACTTTAAAATAAAAAGACGCCTTCTCTTTACTCTGTGAGCATACACCCCTATAGAGATGGAATATATAAGGCACAATGCAAATATTCAAGGGCCCTATGGAAGACCTACTGAAATGTGAGATATATGCAGAGAAGATGCAAGAGCAGCATTCTGTGAGCTGCTATCTAATAATTGTCACAACACTGAGGTGCTGTTAGCGTTCAGCGTAATCAACTCTGCTATCAACCGTCTTCCCGGGAAAAACATGCTGATTCTTTTATCCTTCACCAAAAGCTTGTGAGCAATGGAATTACACTCTTTAAAGATACTGTTTTTAACCTGTTTTTCTGTCAAAGACATGTCAGTCATATGAAACGTGTCACAAGCTCTTCCAGGAGGTCTCTGATAAAGTCAATCCCAGCATCTTATCAGTCATAAACAGCTCTCTGGCCACCAGTATTTATCAAGTGTCAAGCAAACAGCAGTTTAGAATCCAGCCTTGATCCCTTAATCCTAAATAACTATCAACCCAATTTAAAAATGCTCTTTTCCGGCAAGTTATTTGATGCAAACTGAAAATGATTTTGAGTAATTTTATACTTTTGAGACCTATTAAAGTAAAACAGCCCATCATAGTCTTAGTTTAACTGAAGATAAAGATCACACCACAACTTAAGTACTTTTGTAGCTATAACAGGAGTAAAAAAAGATTGGTTACAAACTCACTGAAAATTAACACTTATTTTGCAAACAAGCCCTGATAAACCCACTTCATGCTATCCAGCACTGCATAACATACCATGACATTCCAAAGAGTAATACTTATAAAGTATACATTAAATATGTTATCACAACGATAGGTGCAGACCAAAAAAAACATTCACAGTGGTAAAAGATCATGTACCACAAGTTGTATACTCTTTCTGGGTCCCTGTGACCTTTTCCTCTGGTATTCCCGTTGTGCTCATAGACCTGTGTGGAATTTTGGGACTCCTCGCTCAGGAATGCTTCCCATTTACCACATGTTCTGCATTTCCCGTCCAATAGTACCCCTGGAATTTCTGTAGGGGGGAGCTACAACAATTGGACTATTGTACATAGGTATGTGACCAGAAACAAAACTGCCATTGGGTGATCCCCGTTCCATTTTATAAGGTTATATAAAGGTTTTTGCATTATTTTGCCTTACAGAAGGTAATGGCCTGTTTTGATCAATGTAATCTCCAGGGATTATTAATGGGGTTTTTTTTCAGCCAAATCAAAAGAAAACCATTCAGGGTTTCACATATTCTTGAGTGTTTTCACTCTTTACACAATTTTAAAAAGGCCTTGTCTTTATTTAGGATGGGTTAAGATTATGCTTATTCTTTTAGTGACCTTTTCACCTCGTCGTCCCTTGAATAATCAGAGGCCAATATCCCACAGACACATCCAGACCTTGATGCATTCTAACAAGGATTAGACCTGTTCCACTAGACATTATTAGTTAACTGATAATCGCATTGTTAGTTGTTTTTATACTTCTGGTATGGGTATACGTGCTGTTAAACTCACAAAATCTCTGTATAAAAAGGTGTAATCTGTTTACATCTACAATGGTGATTTCTTTATTGTATGATAAACCTGGCAGGTTCCCTCTGAATTAGTAAAGTGTATCTGTCTCTAAAAAAGAAATAAAAGACAAACCCTCTGTTAAGTATGTTCAAATGGACCTTAAAGTTGAGATAAACATTGGATGTTCAACAGGGTGACCTTCACCATCCACAAAGCAGCATCACAGACATGGCACCATCAATTATAGTTTTGTTTCTTTGAAGTCCATCTTAAATAGCCTGATAATCAAACAGAATTGCCGGTTCAGTTCATTCATTGCTTCTATTTGGATTGTGGAATAATTTCAAAGCGATCCAGAGTTTTGGAAGCAGGCTGAAAGTACATTGAATGTAACATCTTTGAACTAGTTTATAACATCAATAGCATAACTGAACACCAATTATTGCTCTATAAATGTTTATGTTTTCATTATTGCATTTCTCATAGGGTGCCTTCATTTCCATATCTATAGTGCAATGGGCCAATATTACAGTATTAAAAAAGTATCCGAACTTCATTTTTTTTTAATTTAACCTCTAAGTATTAGAAAAAAAGATTGGTAAGACTTTTTTTCTTCTTTTTTTTCTTTTTTGTTAGAAGAGATGTATTTCACTGATAACCTCTGAAGACATTTCTCGGCCTTTTTGGCCCTTGACTCTAGTTTTTCTATCGAAAGCTTCTCATGGCTCCAGGAGTTGGAGAGTTACCCAGCTGCCATGTGAATAGGGAATACTTTTTATATATTCTCTTTCAAGAACTTGAATGGGATTGCTGAATGAATGATAGGCTATAGAAGGGATGATGTAATTAAAACAGGCTTAATTCATATAAACATCAATAAACAAGTCTTATAAATTGCTCTGTCAAGGAGAGGAAACCTCTTCACCAGAGTTCTAATGTTATTCAGCTTTCATATTTTCTGCCGCACATCTGCTTCATGTGGGTCATCCGTCAGCAAAAACTAAAAGAGAAGTGTCACAGCTTCTGAAAGACACCGATGCATTGAAATGAAACTGTCTCTGCACCACAGATACCTAAAGAAAGTTTGTTCCTGGACAAACATGATCTTCATCTCACGAGAATCACCTCACAAATTAAATATTTGTATATAATGTTTTTTAATGTGAGGTATGGTCTCCATCCAGTACCATCCAGGTTGCGGTTGGCCCACCTTTCAATTGACAGTGCTACACAACGATATAATGCAAATTGCAGTCTTCTTAGAAATAGATCAGTAAGATAGTACAAAAACTAATAATACCGTAATCATCCATTTGTGAGTAGAAGCTCAACTGAGGGGGCTTCTTCCTGAACCTTTTGAACATGGGTAGTGGGTTCGAATCCACCATGATCCCTGTGCGTGCTCTCCACGTGTCAGCATGGGTTTTCTTCGGGTTCTCTTATTGTGAAGCCCTGTGATTGACTGGCATCGCCCATTGTCAGCTTGAATTGGATATTAGTGTTTTATTCAGCTCTAAGAAAAGCCAAAGATGTCCCCAAACAGCTTGTGCAGCATAATCCAGGAGCTGTATACAAACTGTTGCACCATGTCCGATATTAACCTCAATATTGCCTTTATTTTCCTCCTGTGGAAAATTATCGCCTGAATGGACTGGGCCACTGCCAGAGAGCAACACGAAGGAGGTAATGAGGCAAACATTAGACATTTGCACCCGCTATGCAATAGTTTGGTAATGATGAGTGTACACAAGATGCTAAGGGGATTTTGCTGAAAATTAAAGGACCTTACCGGTGTGTTTTCAACGTTCAGCTCCTTAACTTAATTACCTGTACACTTTACATTTGTGCCAAACATTTCGGCGAACAAATGCATTGCTTGTATTTCTGGTCGTCTCCATACATTGCTGTGTGATATTAATTCTATTAGCAGGAGAAGGTAGTGCAATCCATCACAGTTAATGTCTTCGTATTTTAAAATATAAAATGATTCGGTTTGCCATGATTGTTGTAGTGTCATAACATAATGGGATTTTCAAATATCATATACGTGAAAGGACTTCAGATCAGTACAATGTATTTCATATCTGCTCCTCCCACAATTTGTAAAGTAATCTAACATTAGATTTACTTCATTTGATCCAGAGTGCTAAATTGTTTACCGGCAAATTGTAGTTTAGAGTATATTTCTGTCTGTACCGTTGAAAACTTTTTTAAAACTTTGTCCGCCCGAATAGGGACTTGAACCCTAGACCCTCAGATTAAAAGTCTGATGCTCTACCGACTGAGCTATCCGGGCTCTGAAAGACGTGCAACGCATTACGTCTACAAAAATCACATAAACACCAGTTAGTTTTGTGATTATGGTTGAAATGTTTGGTTTCAGTTCTTGAAAGGTTTAATCGACGAAAAAGAACAATCATGGCGACATAACAAGTTACAACATTATGAACAGTGTGGACATTCAAACATGTGCACAAACAGACACAACAAAGCACATGCATAAAATAAAAAAGGAAACACACGATATACAACCATTTGAAAAGTGAAATCCTCTTTTATAAAACAATAAGACAAACAGGACTAAATGTTATAACCATATAACATTATAAGTCGTCATGGAAAGTCTCACGAGCCTTTATGGTCAACTACCGCCATCTAGTGGCCACGCCGCACAGTACAGCTGAGTATCTCGCCCTACGTCATACAATAATAAGGAAGTAGCGTCCAACAATCAACACGAGTAGATTCTTTTTGGGTGCCTTAGTCTTTTATTACACGTTATCTCAATGTAAACAACGCTTACCAAAATACAGAAGTCCCATCTCAAGAGCATACATCTGTTGGAACCAGTTTAGTTGTATTGTTGTCATCCTTTGTGGTCTTCCTGTGTCTCTCAAGGAGCTCTATGGAGAGATACTCACTCCACACAGTCATCGGTGAGGGCTCTTTCGGTCGGGCTTTGTTAGTTCGGTGTAAAAGCAGTGAGGAGAAGTATGTGGTCAAGGAAATCCAGCTTCCCAAGGTATGTATTACCACATACAGCTGTATGATAAGAGGTTTGTACTGTATGTACTGCAGCCTACAGCCTGTATCCTTATGTGTAATGGAACAGGGAACAGAAGTGGTGGACCCTGACAAAGTCATATCAGTAACACATAGTGAATTAAACATAAACATATTTGAATTCAGACTGATATGTTATAGCCGGGGGTCGGATATGGAAATGTTATTTAACCTACCCTTGTTGCCCACACAGGGACGTGGGGGCTGGTGGTTTAGCATAACAGGGAATGTATTTGTGCTTGTATTTGCATTTTTATAGAATAACTCCAAATTGGAGAATCCGAGGAGGGAAGCCATCCTGCTATCCAAAATGAAACATCCTAATATTGTGACCTTCAGGGAGGCCTTTGAAGGTATTCACAAACCCAACTCTGTTACACAAGACATACAGTTGTTATGGTCTGGATTGTGGAATGTGCAGTGTGATTGTGTTTTTCCAGCTGATGGCCTCCTGTGTATTGTTATGGAGTTCTGCAGTGGAGGAGACCTGCTCCAGAGGATGCAACAGCAGAAAACTACGCAGTTCTCTTCGGATCACGTAGGCCTCAACTTCCTGCAATTATCCTCACTATTTTATGTTACAGTTTTGTTTTAAATTTTGTTTCATTGTATTTATTTTTCCAGATCTTGAGATGGTTTGCTCAAATGTGTGCTGCGGCACAGCATATCCATGATAAAAGGGTTTTGCACAGAGATCTGAAGTCTAAGGTACAGTAGTCCTTATAGTCAGTGGTGTAGTGGGTGTTGGACGCGGGGGTACGCCGTACCCCCACTTATTTGAAGCATGATTTTTTTTTTTACAGTCTAATATATAAAATCATTGCCAGTGTTATCAGTTGCAAGTGTGTATTTGTTGTAATAATGACGAAAACATAATAGGCAGATTTCACAGTAAATATAATAAAAATGTAGCTCAAGCATTTATGCAACTGGATTTGAAGCGTGTGTGTGTGTGTGTAGGGTGACCAGGTGTCCCGCTTTTTGCGGGACTGCACACACACAGCATTTTTATTATTTGTCCCGCATTTGAGTGACAGTCGCGCAGACAGGCCGGAACGGTTCGCTGACGGCCGGCACCGCCCTTTATTATTAAACGGCATCATGTTGAGCTGACAGGCGACACAGAGGTCCACAGTGTACCCCCCCCAGTTGACAATTCACGAGCGTGCCCATAGTGTCTCCGTCCACCCCGCGCCGTCCACCCAGTAAAAAAATCCCCACTACACCACTGCTTATAGTTTATACTTAATGTTAAAAACTGTTAAAATACATGGATACATTGAACAGAATTCATTTTTAGTTTGCTCTCTCGATTCGAACATGAAGTAGATCATTTAGTTTATTGGTTGAATTCATGTTGATAAAAGCTCATCATCATGAGCACTGTGGAGTGAAATGAACAATGATAAAACTGCTGATCGAGATAAAATAACAACATTATCTCCCACTTCTGCATAATATCATCATTTTGCAATGGTTGGCAGCTTAGTTTGGCTTCATGTTAAGTCATCACTTCTCTTTCATTTCCTTACCCAGAACATATTCCTGACAGATAATGGGACAATCAAGCTCGGGGACTTTGGCTCAGCGTGTATTCTGAACAGGTACAGGAGTAGAGTGGCAACAATTTACAATTTGCCTTCACTGCTGAGTGCTTGATTTGCTGCTACTCATTTTAACGGACTATGTTTGTGATTGTGTTGCAGCTCCAAGGCATACGCTAATACATATGTTGGAACACCATATTACGTGGCTCCAGAAATCTGGGACAACAAGCCATACAACAATAAGAGGTTTGCGTTTGTTTTGCAAGTTTTTCTTCATTTAATATGACAGATTAAATGTCAATGAAAGGAAACACACGGAGAAAGCTGTATATACTTTGTTTGTTCTTTTTCATAATTGTGGCCAACTTTTAGGACAAACTTTTTTTTTTAAACTCCCATTTGTAGTTCTTTCGACTTGGGGATACTCTATGTTTGTACTTCTAAAACCACTTGGTTACTTTGTGATGTGGTTGCGAAGGGACGTAATATTTTTGGAAATGTTTCAAGGAAAGTTAAGACTTGTACTATTTTGACAGTCACTTGCATTTGCAGCCCACGTTATTTCACAGTTTGAGCCAAGAACTACATGTAGGCTATTCATGTTAGATGTTGATTAAATTATCATTTTAAATGATATGTTTTAATACTGTTTATGATATTACAGTCAACCAGCAGATGGTAGCCTGATGCAAAGCACACACTATGCTAACACCTTCTGCCAGTTGTTGTTAGCGAGCTGTTAGCATATGGGATGTAACCTGGTTGAGCATGCTAACTGAGGAGTTTTATTAATCTAATTCCACATTCTTTATAGTAAACATTTATTTTATGAGTTAGTTGTTTATTTACAACTTATTCTTAGTTAACAGACAGCACATATTGCCAGCTTGTGTTTTGAAATGACCTGTAAGTAACCCATTAGTAAACTTGCTAGCTAGCTAACTCACAACACAGCATATTGCATGCATTTGACAAATTATTGGATTTATTTGGCTCATAATGGACTCTGTCTAATAATGATCAAGTAATGATAGTTTCTATTTGAATATGATACAGTAAATGCAGCCTGACCAAATAATCCCTCGTTATTTTCAAGAAGATCCCAATTAATTCCCGTGTAAAGTTTCCATCTTGGATATTCCCAGAACAACAACCCTAGAAGTGATTATGTAACTGATGCGTGGGTTAACCAATCTTGTTTCTTTTTGCCTGTGCCAGTACATGACGCATGTCTGGTGTGAATGAATAACCATCTCTTTGTTTATGTGTTCTGCAGTGATGTGTGGTCTCTGGGCTGCGTTTTGTACGAGCTCTGCACCCTGCGACACCCGGTACCTCCCCCTCCCTCTTATCTGCATGTTCCAAAGATTTGACTGTGGGCCTCTCTCTCCTCTATCGTTGTATAAAAATACTTCTGCTGTCATGTTACTGCACAGTCAGATACTGCAACATGATGGAGGCCCAGTCTCTTCAGCTGAGTTAGATTACCGGCTGTGTATTTTTTGTGGCTCAGATGTGTATGGTTTGTCGTCCCGGATGTCCTCACATCTCACCCTTGTGTCTAGTTCCAGGCATCCAGCTGGAAGAGCCTTATTCTTAAGGTGTGTCGGGGTACGTACCCTCCCCTCCCCAATCACCTGCCCTACGAACTGCAGTATTTGCTAAAGCAGATGTTTAAGACGAACCCAAAAGACAGGCCGTCCATGCACAGCATCCTGACCTCCCACAGGGTTTCCAAACTCCTCCGTGCACATCTGCCCTCCCAGGTACAGACCTAGCTCCCCTCTGTGCTCCTCAAAAACAGTTCACTGATCCTCCTGCATGGTGACAGTCACTCAAACAGTTGAACCTGAAGTGATTTTATTGCTACCTATCCATCAAAACGACAAACAGTCATAACATGGTGTCAAAGTGAGAATTTAAACTCTTACACAATTTCCCCTGCTGTGGTGACCGTACGTGGAATCTGACCTTTGACAAGCTGCTGTTGGTTCAGATGGTCGCGGAGCTGGTGTTATGTGTTTGATTTACGGCAGGGCTTTGAATCTTTTACAGGCGCTAGAGACGCAGGAACAGGGGAGGCGGACGGCTCGATGGAAGAGAGAAGAGGGGAAGAAGGTGGCTAATCTTCTGGGAGAGAAGAATTTGATAACAACGTCAACATTTGAAGGTAGAGTCGAAGTTAACAATTGGTTGTGAAAAAGGGATATACTGTTGCAATTATGAGAGAACGACATCACATAACTTGTTGTGCAGAGTGGTTGGAGCATACATGTTATTGCAATTAGAAGGGAAATAAATCATGAATATGTTACGTGATTAAATGTCATGCCGATCTGAATCACTATTAAGATTTTGATCATTCTGATATGACCATTCTTTTTAAAAACAAAGAAATATGTATCATCATGAGCACCTTCTCATTTCTCTCTGCTTGCTATTTCATCACCTGTAGATAGGTTCCCAAATCCTTTACATTTCCTTTTGTTTATTATGTGCAGCTCATTTTTTTGTCCTTGCTCTTTGTGTTTGTATGCATGCACCGTCTACACAGAATACAAATGTTGATTTAAGATAATATAAGATAAGATGGAACTTTATTTATCCCCTTGGGGACATTTTGGCGTTTATAGCAGCAACAGTGTTAGAATGAAAAACAGGATTCACACAAGGTAAACATAAAGATAAAATCAAATACAATACAATAATACAACAAAACAAAAAATGATAAAGTAACTATTGAAACAAGATTTCACAGTAAAAAGTTGAGTATTTGAGTATTATTTACATACGTGTGCAGATGTGAGGGGCAGGTTAAAGTCTTGTAAAAGGTCATTTATTGTCAGGACCTTCTTGAAAACGATTAATATAACAAAACATTCACCCTGAGTAACCCTTTCCCTCAGGCGTGGAGTTACATGAAGCCCACTCTGAAAGCAGAGAGCCGGGTCCTCGTAAGCAGTGGGCCGTGGGGCCCTCGGACACTGTGCTGCAGATGTTGGCCAACGCCAGCCTCGTCTCCTCGGACAGCATGGGGTCAACCTGCCAGTCCCTCACAGGTACTACTCGGGCGGGGGGGAATAGAAGTTTCCCATCTCTATTTCTAAAATCTTCTAAAAATTCAAGTTTAGGCACTAAATTCCAGTATCAGAGTTGATCAGCTGTGTCCTTGTTTTGTCCCGTGTATCAGAGGAGCCAGGGGACAGCCGGCAGAGGAGACGATGGGACAAGGATCCTCCAGAGAAGCTTCTGAGTGTGTTGGAGAAGGCCCAGCTGAGCAGAGCCTTCAGCACCTTTTTAATAAACCCAGGAGGTCTGTTCATTTCTGAATATTTTGTATTTGAAATGTGCTAACATGATCTTTCCTGGATTTTTCCTGGTTACATTTCACTCATTTCCCTGGAATATTCCCTGGATTGGAATACAGCTCCAGAAACAATTAAGAGACCACTCCAAATGTTTCTTAAATCTCAATTTCTACATGTATGGCAGACATTCCATTCCATTGTCTATTGAATTCAAACACAGATAACTGTTGTCAGTAGTTGAAAGAATAAACACACACCTTTAAGTAAAACCAGAGAAACTGATCATTTCACAGTGATCTCTTAATTTTTTCCGAAACTGTATGTGGTTTTAGTGGGTGATATAATCAGTCCTCTGGTTTTCCATCTCCAGGTGAGGACCCTCTGGTGGGACCCCTCTCCCAGCCACAGGGGGACCACCCTGATGGTCCTGAGCTTGAAGTGGCCTTAGATGAGGAGCGACTGCAGCCTCGCTCTGATGATGAGGACACGTGAGTAACCCAGATACAAAGCTGTGTTTAACATGACATTAGTAAGGCAAGGCAAGTTTATTTATATAGCACTTTTCAACACAAGGCAATTCAAAGTGCTTTACAAAAATGAAAGACATTCAGAGCATAAAACACATGAGAAACATTTAAAAGCAAAGATAATAAAACATGAATAACAGTTACAGTGCAGTGTAAGATGTGAATAGTTCAATTAAAAGTAGCGGCAAAAAGAAAGTATTCAGCCTGGATTTAAAAGTAGCGAGAGTTGCTGCGGACCTGAAGGTTTCTGGTAGTTTGTTCCAGATATTTGACAATACCCCAAACGAAATTCTCCCATTCCTCTACCCCTAGTCTTCCCATGAAATTATAGTTTTTTGACAGTTTTCTAACCTTTTTATATTCCTTTCATCCTTCTCTTTCAATAATTTTTTCATCCCCAGACAATCCATTTTCCAAACCCATCTTTGACATTTAAACCACTTTTTTAGTAGCTAGGAGTAGATCACTATTCTAGACAGAAGGGAAATACCTTTACATAAGACTATTTTTGGATGTCCTATCTGTCGATTTGTAATTAATAGTTTAATTAAATACATATTTTTGGGTTTGTATTAGGGATGGGAATTTGAAAGCAGATGTATATTCGAATATTCGACCCCCAATAAACGGTTAACCGATTAACCGAAATGTACATATCCTATAAAATATACAATTATCTTACAAAAAAATATTTTTATTTTGAAAAATAAATAAATACATGTTCAAATAAGTATAGAAACTTAGTCGAATTTGTCAAATGTATTGAACTGGTGATCACAGTTTGAACAGTTGACAGCTATAGGCCTACAGCTTTCATGCTTAAAACATAACTTGGTTTTTAAATTAAAGAGGGATCATCCACGAACAACATAACGGGTTAGGGTAACCTAACCCTATTACAACAGAGATCCGACAACCTATAACAGGGCAGGGCCTA